TTTTTAGTCCACCGTGTCTGAGGGTAATCATACATATCCTTGATAGATCCTTACTGAGAGTGAGAGTGTTTAAGAAGTGAATGGGTTTCTGGAGAAGGTCTTTTGAACCTAAAACAGTTAATTCTTCCTTGGTAGAACTACAGCACAATTAGCAACACTTCCGTACAACTCACCTAGCTATTTGATGACATCCTCTCTCAGTTCTCAGCTTCGACTTCACTAACTCCATTTTCTGTTGTCTAGTGATTTATCCCTCCTGTAATTTGAGCACTCTTTTCCATTTGATGTAGGAACCACATGTGAATAAATTAACTATAACTGTAGTCCTTAACACTTACAGAAAAGAAATTGATAATTTTTAGAAGAACAGAAGAATTTATATCAAAGAGCAACTGACAGTAGGGAGAAATTTGTTAAGGTGTATATCTCTTATTTCCATTTGTTTCACAATAAGCATTACAGAAAAATGACCTACTAAACATTTTCCCCATGGCTAACCAGAAATCATTATGAAACAAAACAATATTAAAAAGTCATCTAATAAAAAAACCTAACAACCTGATTTTAAATGGGCAAAGGACTTGAATATACATTTCTCCATAGAAGATGTACCAATTGTCAGTAAGCACATAATTACTCATTAGGGAAATGCAAATCAAAAACACAGAAGATGACAAATATTAATGAGAATGGAGATAAATTAGAAACCTGTACATTGCTACTGGGAATGTAAAATGGTGCATCTGCTGTGAAAAACAGCATGACAGCTCCTCAAAAAGTTAATCACAGAATTACCAGGTGATCCAGCAATTCCACTTCTAGGCATATCCTCAATATAACTGAAAGCAGGAACTCCAACAAATATTTGTACTCCAATATTCACAGCAATATTATTCACAAAATTCAAAACAACCCAAATGCCCACTGATGGATGAATGGATAGCAACATGCTGTATATCCGAACAGTGAGTATTATTCAGCCTTGAGAAGGAATGAAATTCTGATGCATCCTACGATATGGATTAACCTAGAAAGAATTATGCTAAGTGAAATAAGTCAAGCCAGGACAAATAAGGACAAAGAAAGCATGGTTCCAACTCACATAATGCATGTGGAATAGGCAAATTATAGAGACAGAAAGTAAAATGAAGTTCAGGGAATGGAAGAATAGAGAATTATTCCTATTCCAATCGGAATAGTTTTATGATTTATAGAGATTTACTTTGGATCATAAAATAGTTCTGGAGATGGATGATGATGATGATTACACAACTTGTGAATGTGCTTAGTGCAACTTGAATTTAAACTTAACATGAATTTAACACTTACAGTGATGGAATGGTAAATGTAAGGTTTTATATATTTTACCACATTAAAAAATTTTTAAATGCAATTGGAAGTAAAATTTAGTATTAAATGAGAGAAAAGTAAGTGCTCACATATTTATTTCTTAATTCCATTTAATAGAAAATAAAATAAAATGTATTTAGACTAGTGCTAGTATTTTCTTTTCTCTTCCTTCTCTCCTTCCAGGTTTGAAGTTCTGTTTAACGATCTGGAAACGAATCAAAAAGAGCTGGGCATTGCCAGCTTTGGTGCTTCAATCACTACCATGGAAGAAGTCTTCCTAAAGTGAGTAATAAATAATGACCTTAAAAAAAAAACTACTTGCACCTGTAAAATCTCACATCAGTTTGAGAGCAAACCCCACCCAGTTTGCACTGGAAGGAAGTATTCACAGTTACAGATTTTTTCAAATATGTTAATATGTTATGCTAATATATTTCTACATATTCAGCTAAGAACGTGTAAAGATTTTGAGCTTGGGCCTTGCTGCGTGTGTCTTTTCATAGCAGAAGATTTAAGAGTTAGTTAAAAAAAAAAGAGTATCTATCTCATTATAGGAAAAGTTTTAGTTCTAACTTGGCGTCTGTACTAGAAATGACTAAATTTTTGACCTAAGCATGTTTCTGCCGGGGAGGAAGAAATTGTCTTCTACTCTTCTAAATTCTTCTGGTGTGTTTAAGAATTAAATTGATGTGAGACATACTAATTTCCACAATTTTGTGACTTTTCCAGTTTTACTTTTGTTACTGATTTCTAACTTCATCCTTTTGAGGTCAGAGAAGATAATTTGCATTATATCCATACTTTTAAATCTACTGAGACCTAATTTGTGGCCTAGCATATGGTCTATCATGAAAAATGACATATGTGCACTTTAGAAGAATGTGCATGCTATTATTGGGTAGAATATTCTGTATATATCTGTTAGCTCTCGTTTGCTGTTGAGTTGTTAACATCTTCTATTTCCTTCCTTATTTTCTGTCTGGTTGTTCTGTTCATTATTGTGAGCAGGGTATTGAAGTATCCAACTATTGTTATAGAACCATCTATTTCTCCTTTATATTCTGTTTTTGCTTTGTCTATTTTCATGGTATATAATTAGACATGTGAATATTCATAATTGTTACGTCTTCTTGCTATACTGAAACTTTTATTTATATATTGTATCCTTCTTTGTCTCTTGGAACATTTTTCATTTTAAAGTCTGTTTTGCCTCATAATAGTATAGCCGTCTCTGCTCCCTTTTGGTCATTATTTGCACAGAATATCTTTTTTTCCATTCTTCCACTTTCAACCTTCTTTTGTCCTTAGATCTCTAGTGAGACTCTTGTAGACAGCATCTAGTTGGATAATGTGTTTTCACCCATTCTGCCAATCTCTGTCTTTTGATTAGAGAATGAAAACAATTTACATTTAAAGTAATTACTGATAAGGAGGTACCTACTTGTCATTGTGCTATTTGTTTTCTATATGCACCATAGCATTTTTTGTCCCTCGCTTTCTGCATTTGTCTTCTTTTGTGTTTAGTTGATTTTTTTGTAGTAAAATATTTAAGTTGCATCCTAAATTCTTTTGTGTATATTCTGTGGTGATATTTTTTGTGTTTACCATGGGGATTATACATAGCATCCTAAACTTACAACACTCCAGTTTGAATTTACACCAGTTTAACTCAAATAACATATAAAAATGGCTCCTTTATAGCTCTGGCCCACTCTTTAGGTTTTTGATGTCACAAAATTATATCTACATGCTGTGTGCTCAAAATGGTGAACTGACAATTCTTTTAAATTAGTTGATCTCCTAAATTATGTGGTGAAAATGTAGATTGGTACAGCCACGAATGGAAAACAGTATGGAGAATGATCAAAAAACTAAAAATAGACTTACCATATGATCCAGCAATCCCACTCCTGGGTATATATCTCTAAGTCAAAACAATACATGCACCCCAGTGTTCATAGCAGCACTATTTACAATAGGCATACATGGAAACAATGTAAATGTCCATCAACAGATGATAAAGAAGTTGCTGTATATTTATACAATTGAATACTACTCAGTCATAAAAAAAGAATAAAATAATGCCATTTGCAGCAGCATGAATGGACCTAGAGATCATCATTCTAAGTGAAGTAAGCCAAGAAGAGAAAGAAAAAAACCATATGATATCACTCGTATGTGGAATCTAAAAAAAAAAAAAGACACTATGAACTCATCTACAGAACAGAAACAGACTTGCAGACTTAGTAAACAGTTTTATGGTTACCGGAGAAAGAGGGTGAGAAGGGATAAATTTGGAAGTTTAAGATTTACAAATGTTAGCCACTATATATAAAAATAGATTTTTAAAATGTTTCTTCTGTATAGCACAGGGAACGATGTTCAATATCTTGTAATAACCTTTTATGAAAACAAATAGATACATGTATATGCATGACTGGGACATTGTGCTGTACACAAGAAATTGACACACTGTAACTGACTGTACTTCAATAAATAAATAAATAAATAATAAATAAATAAAATTTTAAAAAGAAGACAGATCTCATGCATTTGAAAACTGCCAACACAACAGGCAATTGTTTTGAATATCCATATTGAAATCCATTAATATAAATGCTTTCAGTTTTTATAGCAGAAAATATATGCACAGTGGAATTTGATTCAGCCTTAAAAAAGAAGAAAATCGTGCCATTTGTGACAACATGAATGAAACGAGGACATTATGCTAAGTGAAATAGGCCAGACACAAACTGGAGAATAAATATATTGTAGAGGTTCTCCCATGGTCGTGAGAGTTCTGAGTCCCACATCAGGCTCCCCAGGGTAGAGGAATAATATCTCATCAGGGTTATCTCTAGGTATTAGTTTGTGGGTTGTGCACCCAAGGAGTGTGGGAACTGATTATATCATGAGTCCACCCCTCCTACTGGTTTTGTCATGGTTTCATCTGTAAGTTTTTAGTTACAGAAGATCCTTTCAGGTAGTTTCCTGTCTTTTTTATCACTAGCTGTTCTACAGTGATCTTGGTGTGTCTGAGCTCCATCAGCTCCATCTGAGAGGCGGTGAGCTCCATCTGCCTCTACGCTGCCATCTTGAAAGGAAATCTCAATGATTGTATTTTAAAAGCACAATAGTCCTCCAGACTTTAGGATCAATTTTAAAATACGTTGGAGGGGTATTTGAAAGCAGGATTTTTAATAGTATTTGATATATGGTTTTTAAAGGGTAAGGGTTATTGATCTACTTGTGAAAATCATAGGTCAGAATTTATCACTATTGTATTCCATAAAAGTGCTAACAGGAAGGTATTAAAAAGATTTCTGTGGCTTAGAAAAAAAATACACCTTTTAAATCATATTTTTTCTACCCAGTGTTTTACCCCTCTTACTAGTGTAAATTCATCTTTCCTATCTCTTAATATACTATTATATATATTTTTCTTCTGTTATTCTCTTAGCATTTTTTTCCTTAGACTGTAATTAGTTGTATATATCTCTTTATCCTTCTTAAGTATCCACACCAAAAGACCCAACTTCAGACACAGGCACTAATGAGAAATGTGAGGACTTAAAAATCTTAGTATCCAATGTCCCTATCATTTCATAACATAAAGAACTCCCATTTAACTCCCAAATGAAAGTTATTATCTTTGATTAAAGGTAAGTCTTTTCATTTGAATGAGTTCAGTTTAGTGGAATATACAATATATTCTAACTGTTTTTTTCATGTTACTTCAGAATGGTAGGAACTTTGCCACAGATTGGCAGTTCCTCTGACTGGGTTATTGAGAGCCATGTTCTCATGCTGCCTCCATACAATACACCTGACAATCAGTGGGAAAGATCAAAGAACTTTCCAAATTGGGAACCTTGTTTGACATTCCCCAAATAAAATCAATTGAGGCTACAGTCAAAATGTTTTGTGCTTTCTTTGTGTACATGTCTGTATGTAGGGTCAATAGGCTGGCAGATTCCCAGATGAATGTTCGGCCTACCCAGTCTACTCCTCTGAAGAGCAAAAAAATAAGACAAGACATGAAGCAGAATAAGAATGTGTCCAGAAATTGCAACAGACCAGTTTTTTCCAGATTGAATGAAATTGCTAACATTAAATTTAATACTGGGGTAAGCATACTCCCTAAGAATGTAAACTCAGTATGTTTGGTTTGGGTATAACATGTACACATTCTTAACTAACTGAATTTGAAAGATGTTTAGAGTTTGGCCATAGAAGAGCCAGGCAGATATGGAACAGTCTGTAGTTCAACCCCATTAATTTCCTGATGCAGGAGACATAGGTTCTAGATAAAGATCACAGCTATGCTACCCTCATCTTTGTTATTTCTCAGAATCACTTTGAAAAGTTCTCATTCATTTTTCATATATTTTCCCTTTGTTCAGTTCTAAGACAAGACCCTAGAATTATGATTTTTAGAAGATATTTGTTAATCAGATTAGGGGCATTTTCTCAATATGAACCATACTTAGTATACTAAAACCTAGAAAAAGATAATAGTTATATACAAGTTTTATGGGGATATTTCCCTTAAACTGGAGAAATGGGAAGGTTATAGTTTAATATTTAATTTTTAATATTAATTTAATAATTTTTTTGAAATTTACTTTGTTTTCTGATCAGAAATACTACAAGTATATTAATGAATAAAATTATCTCAATAAGATTTTCAGTGTAGTTAGGTAAGAAACCAGATCTTAATCTTTTCCCTTAGTATCTTACAAAATAAAAATTTTCATACCATCTTGTTTTCTTGGGTTAAAGTCAAGGATATATTTATATAAGATGCATATATCTTCTACTATAAAAACTTGAAGAATTGGATTTCAGTATGAACATCATCCTTGGATCACCAGCAATTCTAATGCTATGTTCCTTTCCTCATTTTAGTTTCTACTATACTGCCAGCAATTTCATTCCATGTTTATGAAGAGAGCACTGTTCACTTGGCGCAATTGGAAGTTGTCATTGCTACAGATATCAGTAATTTTGTTTGTCACTACTTACCTCTTCTCAAGTTTAAACTTAGATTCTGAGCCACCTGCCAGAGAAATGGACTTGAGTCAATATGGTCGAACAATTGTGCCTTACTCAATTTCTGGGAATTCTGATCTTGCTCTGAACATCGTAAAGAACCTTGAGATTTTTCTAAAGCTTAAAAATCAAGAACTTCGTAAAGTACAAGGTAAAATCCTTAGGGAAAAAAAGACTGCTGCTATTTGAAGAACTATGTGTATCACTTGCAAAGAAGGAACTTAACTATGCTTTTTAGCTACCCCTTTCTTTCTTTTCCTACTATTTGCCAGAATCTTAGGGGCAGCTATTAGAGGCCAAAAATGTACATGTCAAGACACCTGGCCACAGAAGTTAATAATTAATGGAAGCATTTTGGCTGTAGGTGTCCTTCAGCTAATTGCATCACTTTTCAGAGGACAGGTAGAAAGCCAAAATACTATATTGTTGTGAAATTTAGCATAGATTTTTATTCTGACCAGAATACAAAATTTTTTTCTAAGCTCTCACGCAGTGAAATGTTTCCAAGATCTGAAGGTTGCCCTTCAGTCTACTACATTGGCCATTCTAAAAGCAAGTGGCTGAAGACCCAATAGATTGACTCCTCACAACTACTTTTTTGAAGGTAGTATAAGTAGCTGTACTCATTTGTTCAATGTTTACTTTTGGTAAAAAACCATACTATACGCCTTGTGTCCATTATCTTCATGCTAAAAACAACCCTTTTGTGTAGCTTATTTCTAATCTTTTGCTGTGTAACAAGTTATGCCAACAGCTAGTGGATAGAAAATTTTGAATTCTTGGTATAGTAGAATGAATCCATTCTCCCACAAAAGCAACAGAAATATTTGGAAAACAATTTTTTTTAAGTCGACCAATTTAGAATACTAGAAATTAAGCAAAAGCACAGAACAAACTAAAAGTGTCTATTCCAAAAAACAAAACAACAACCAGAAAAAAAAAAACTACTGAACCTCTATAAAAAAATCAATAAGGTCTATGGCATTTTGATTTAGAATTACTCCTGTCACTCACCCTCCCCTCAGTGGTATGGTATCCATGAAAGCCAGGAGCCTCACAGTTGATGGAAAGAACTAATCTCTTCAGAGCTCTGTTAAAAGCTCTTCCCTAGGGCATTGCCAATACTTAGACTGAAATAGCAGCTCCCTGAAAAACTCCATCCTC